CGATTCCAGGAACAGGAAGAGGCGGAACAGGGACACAAGCGCAGCTCGGCGTTTGTACGGAGCACAGCATCAGTAAGACCACCGTCTCCGACCCCGTCGCTGCGAAAATGGGCCAAGCGAACCGGTTTCCCGCGGTGGGGTCGCCGTTCAGTGTACACTACGCAGTATGGATACGGTGGTACCACAAAACAGCCCATCCCTCACCTGATTCATCACCCCCCAACCTGCCGACACCAAGACAGCACGACAGCAACCAGAAGAGCGTTCGAGAGTAAGTTGGGAAAATGGTTCGCTAGTGACACCCAACGCAGCCTTTGCCGATGGGCGATGACAGACGGCATCTGAAATGAGTGAGGTGATTTGCTGGTCTCGTGAATATGCTTTGATGGGGCTTCTGCTAGCAACGAATCGACGGCCTGCCCTCAATCGCCAGAGTTTGACCATTTCCTCACTGTGACACAGTGACACAGCTTCCCACGGGCAATCGAGAGCTCACACCACCCTCCTCGTGCCTCCTCTTGGCCCCTTTGCCCCCCATTCTCGATGATCCCACCTTCGATATAAGCCACGCGGATCCCGACAGATCCTCTTTTGCTCCTGACTTCTAGCAACATTTCTTTCCATTCATGGGTTGCGCGATGTCTGCGTTGATTCAGTGTTCTGTTCTGCTTCGAGCTATCGTCCATCGTTGTCCTGTTTCCTACCTCCAGAGCATCCCACCATGACCTGCTCCATATCTCTCTTTACCTCCTTTCTCCAATAGCCAACTCTGGCAAAGTCACAAACACGTTGCGCGTACTCTGTATCTCAACTACAACTGCAGCTAGGCGAAGCAACCAGCATGTCGTCACGTTCTCCACATTCTCGCGCCAGCTTAGCGTCTCATTTCGTCTCGTCTCGCATGTCCACGTTCACGCCCGCATCGTTTCTCTCTCTCTCTTTCTCTCTCTCTCCAGTTTCCACGTCCTGCCGGCATTCCCCCCGCTTTCGTTTCCGCCCGTCGTGAAGACCCCAGAATCCCACGCGTGCTCAGCAACACCATGTCCACCTTTGGAGGTCCCGGTCACCTATTCGGCCAGAAACGCATTCTCGGTGCCCCAAAAGGCGTCCTACAACACTGTCCAGATATCTCTCGGAACAGCAACTGGAAGTCCACCGTCAACGTGAAAAGATCCAAACGTACTGCATTAAACTCTTTGATTACCTCGCCTCATGATTGCTCCCGGTGAGTGTGAAAGATACCCCTCCGCTGATGATTCAGTTGGACCACCACCGTCCGGATGACATCGACACCCCGGGCAAGAACCGAGCATGAACGCGATGCATTAGCGGCACAACAAACCCGCAACGCCAGTAACGGATGCCCCGGCCACTTGTAATCCCCACCTAGGTACCTTACCTCACGGATAGTCGTCAGCCCCAGTCTCACCCGATCCGCGTTAGTGATCATCGGTCACCTCACTCGCCCTCCCGGCGTTCCCCGTCCCGTTTGAAGAAGACACGGACAGCGTTTGAGATGAGCAGGTGTAAAAAGGATGATTGATTGTATGTGAAGAACATCTGACTCCTTGCGACAAGATTGCTGACAGGTATGTAGTAGGTCGAAGAAAGATGAGCTTGGTGGTTCCAGCCTTTGTATCTATAGTCTAGACAGCATGCGCCGATCCCTCGGAATTCGACAACGAGACAGACGCCTTCCTTTGACAGCCGCATCGAAACCTCGGTATCGCCAAGCGACGAGTCGCCATTTACGACCAACAGAAGACCTGAGGACAGCACATTGAATGGGTATAAATGGTTGGAAATGACGCGCCTTCGAAGCCTGAGCCTGGAGTCACGGATGTGAAGTGTCCATCCAGGGTTGGATGAGCGGAGGCATGAGCATTTGGGAGCTCTGTTCACACAGAAAGAGCAGCCAGCGTCTGTGCTTCAATCGATAACAAGCCTTATCTTATCACTATCAAATCAACCCCGCTATCTGCCTCATCACCTCATGACATATTCCCTTAGTCATCAGTGACTTGGCGTCATTCCGATCTTGTGCCCCTCGTGTGCCCCTCGACTGTCAATGACATGAGCTAATCCATCTGTGCCATCCAGTGTTCAGCTCTTGCCACGGAACCCCGCCCCGGGTGTTTGCTCTGCTGGACTTGAACTTTGTCGCCGAAAAACGCTCGCCTCAACCAATCACTCTCTCCCTTGGATGCCACCGTCGTCCGCAACCACCCAATCGCACTTTCCTGCGCTCCGTCTCTGGATCCCACCTGCGGACCGGGACCGCCATCTCATATCGGACCGCACTCGGCCAACCGCCCGTCGTTGCCATGTCATTTGTTACCGTCGCGGCGGCGACCCTGCCCAGTGTCCCCTTAGACTTCAAGGGAAACCGCGACAGGATCTTAGAGTCCATTCGCATCGCCAAGGCCCAGGGTGCTACACTCAGAACCGGCCCAGAGTTGGAGATTCCCGGCTATGGATGTCTTGACCATCACCTTGAAGGTACCTAAAACAAAACCTTGGCGAGCTTTCCTAGGGTTCATGGATGAGGTTGACCTAACAGCCCGCCAGGTGATACCTTCCTCCACAGCTGGGAAGTCCTTGCTGAAATCATCAGTGATCCCATCTGTAAGGATATGCTGATTGATCTTGGTATGGGATGCCGGCATCGTAACGTCCGTTACAACTGTCGTGTTCTCTGCACATACAAACACATCTATTTCATCAGGCCAAAGGTACGCCTTTCATTCCACCGCCCCTTTCTGGGCCCATCGAACTCACATCAACAAGCAAAGTCTGGCCAATGATGGCCTTTACCGTGAAGCACGGCACTTCACGGCATGGACGAAGCTCCGGGAGGTCGAGACCTACTACCTAGAGGCTGTGGCCGCCGCCGTCACCGGCCAAAAGACAGTCCCCATTGGTGACTTGATCCTCAGCACGCTCGACACCGCTGTTAGCTGTGAAACTTGCGAGGAAATGTTCTCGCCTCTGAACCCTTCGACGTTTCTCGGCCTCAACGGCGCCGAAATCATCCTCAACAGCAGTGCCAGCCACGCCGAGCTGCGAAAGTTAAAGACACGACTCGATCTGATCTCGAATTCGACGCGAAAACTTGGTGGTATCTATGTATATGCCAACGCGACCGGCGTCGATGGTGAGGCGCGCATGCTGGTATGTTTCCACTAACTGGCCACCAAATTATGGCAAGTGGTATCCAGCAGCTGACTTTAAAGCCAGTTTGACGGATCAAGCATGGTGCTCGCCAATGGAAAGGTCTTTGCACAATCTTCCCAGTTCTCTCTGAAGCCGGTTGAAGTCATCACTGCCACCATCTCTGTGGAGGAAGTTAGAAGCTACCGCTCCAGCATCTCGCGAAACGTGCAGGCTGCTGCCCAGCCCGACTTCCCTAGAGTTGACTGCGATTTGCGACTGACGAGGCCCGCCGACGAAGTGTACTTATCAGATCACCTGCAAATCGCAAAGGAGATCGAGCTTAAGATCCTCGACCCCATGGAAGAAATTGCCCTGGCTCAAGCGGTCTTCCTCTGGCAATATCTCTGCCGCACAAGCTCCCCTGGCTATTTTCTTGCCTTGAGTGGAGGTCTCGACTCCTCGACGGTCGCGCTCTTCGTGTACAGCATGGCCAAACTCGTGCTCCAGTCCATTGAGGCCGGCGAGATGTCGACGTTGGATGATTTGAGACGCGTCACTGGTGACAAGACCTTCATGCCTGAGACACCGCAGGAAATTGTGTCGCGCTTGCTCCACTCGTGCTACATGGGGACTGTCAACTCTGGGGATGATACTCGAACGAGAGCCCGCCGCCTCGCAGAGGTCCTCGGGGCCTACCACTCCGATATCTCAATCGATGAGGCAGTCCAAGCCCATGAGGCTATTATCGAGAAGACGCTCAACTTCAAACCCCGGTATGGTGTCGAAGGCGGTAGTCCTGCTGAAAATGTGAGTGACTTCCCAGAAAGATGGGTGTGAAGATTGTACGAGGTTCTGACAGCGGGTCTAGCTTGCGCGTCAAAATATCCAGGCAAGAAACCGCCTCGTTGTCCAGTACGAGCTGGCACAGCTGTCCACGACTGCAAGACAACTCCCAAGAGCCGGCGCCGCGCTTCTCGTCTTGGGAAGTGGCAATGTCGACGAGAATCTGCGTGGCTACTACACCAAATAGTGAGTCTCGAACCTCACGCGTATGTGCATACTGCACATTGAGCTAACCAATACCAGCGACGCATCGTCCGCAGATATCGCGCCACTAGGAAGTATCTCCAAAACGGACGCCAAGAACTTCCAAGCTTGGGCCAGGGATCAGTGGGACTTGCCCATCATGTCCGAATTCCTCGAGGCTACGCCGTCAGCCGAGCTTCTTCCCCTCTCTGCCGGAGTCCAGGATGATGAGGCAGATACAGAGATGGGCTTGACTTATAGGTAAGGACACAAGACGTTTCCAGTCATGGCTTCGAACACTAACCGCTTTTGTAGCGAACTCTCAGAGTTTGGTATCTTGAGAAAAGTACATAAGCTCGGCCCATGGTCAACATACCTCCGTCTCCTTGGAGACTGGAAGGAGAGGCCGGGCTATGGCCCCCGAGAGATTGGCGAGCGCGTCAAGAGGTTCTTCCGCTTCTACTCCATGAACCGCCACAAGGCCGTCATCCTCACGCCCTCGCCGCATCTCTCGGCCTACAACCCCGACGACAACCGCCACGACCTCCGTCCCTTCTTGTACGTCGTCAACTGGCCGTGGCAGTTTTCCAAGATTGATGCGCATGTCGGGGAGCTTGAGAAGAAGATTGCGGATAGGGCCAGGCCGGCGGACGTCCAGTTTGAAGCGCTTGATTAGGAGACGAGACGCGAGTTGCTGGATGAAGCTCATAGACGGATGGCGGGTTGACAAAGTGAGATTTGGTAGATTACTGTGACACAAGGAACTTCCAAGCAGGTTAACAAAAAACGGAAACCTCTAATTCTACATGTTACTCACTCAACTATGCAAAAGCTCTGGCAAGGAAATCAGCAACCAGACCCGAATTTCGGCCTCTCTTCAACATCGTGAAATGATTCGCTCCAGAGATCCGATCAACAAAGGTATTCTCCTCACCCCCAAGTAAAGCCTCCCACCCATTCGGCCCAAAACTGGTCCTATTCTCCAAGAGCCATCTCATCTCACGAGGGTCGTCGTCACTGTACTCTGGGCGAGGATCCTCGGGATTCTTGCAAACACCGTCCTCAGCCCACAGCAAATAGGCTCGCGGCGGCGAAGGCAACGGGTTCTCTAGGCCCTTGCCGACTTTGAAGCTCCTGAGAGCCATCTCCCAGGGCACAGCGACATAGTTGTCGAGCGCTTCCACAAATGCCAAAAAGTGCGCTAGAAGCCACTCGGGCGCCTTACTACCTCCTCCGCCTGCTGCGCCATGGGGATTCTCCGAGCCGAATACGTTCTGGGCGTCGAGGAAGTCGTATAACCGGGGAGGCAGCTTTTCCAGTCCGATTGGGCTAGGTGAGTCGATCAAGATGAGCCGGTCGACGCGATGGCCGGCCCTGGTGAGCATGAGGGCTACTTCATAGGCACAGATGCCGCCGGCGGACCACCCTCCGAGGTCATATGGCCCCCGCGGCTGCCGTCTCAGGATCTCGGACACGTAGAGCTCAGATAAGCCGCGGAGACCGAATTCGACGAGATGTGTTGCGTCCTTGAGCCAGGGACAGTTGAGGCCGTAGACGGCGATGTCGCCGGCTGGAGAGATGGGCGGGAGCGAGGCGTAGGAGGTGGCGGAGCCGGAGCCGTCGGGGAGGAGGAAGAGGGTTGAGCGTGCTCGTTTGGGGTTGCCTTGGAGAAGCGTCGAGGTGGCTCGAAAGTGGTGTAGGAGGCTGTGGCCACGAGGTGCATTTCTCACGTCTTCCTCCTCGTCGCTGTCAATCTTGCTTTGTTCGCCGTCGCTGGAGAGGGTTGTGGATGTGTCTGGCTCGCTTTCGGTTGGAGGGCTGCCGGCACCGCTGGCACCGCCACTACTGCTGCTACTCGTCTCGCTGACGGTGAATCCCAAAAAGGTCTTGAGCTGGCCGAGTGTCGGGCACGTTATGAAGGCGGAAGAGTCCACGTCGATGCCCAGGTCCTCACGCATGCGGCCTGTGAGGGTTAGGGATAGCAAAGAGTCGACGCCGTGGTCTGCAAAGTCCAGGTCGTCATCATTCAGGTCGCTGAGGGACAGTCCGATTTCCTCTGACAGGATGCGAAGAAGGGGTCTCAGCTGGGGAGATGTATCATCTGCTGCTGGCGGCGGCGGCATGGTCATGGCACCTACTGCAGGGCGAGATGGGACGGTTTTGTCTCCTGGCGCTTCCAAAGAAGTGTGGTGCATCGGAGATGGCTGTGGCCTTTCTCGATGTCCTCGAAGTGCTTCCGGAGGTGTGGCTCCAGGCGGAGGCAACACGGTGTTGAGAACGCGCCGCGGAAGACCTTGGAACTGTTGATTATAGGCGTCAGGACAAGAATGAAGCATAGGCTGTAGCCAAAGGAAAAGAAGGCTTACTGTAATATCGCCGTACACACCGATTATGGTGCTGTTTTCATCCAGAATATACAAATCGCCTGCATATTTGGTGCCATCGACAGGCCTCATATGGATGTAGGTCCGGTAAGTGGTGTCCTCTTGAAACTCTCTGGCCAACTTCATAGACTTCCATCCATGGTTTACATAGACGTAGTCACGCGGTGTGGTCTGGTGGCAGTTCATGAGAAACCCAGTCGTCTGGCCGCAACTGTCAATCCACAGCGGGTTGCAGTAGAAGCCCCCACGAGGGCCGCGAAACCGGACCTTGGCTGTGCCCTCGAGATCTTCACTATGCAGAACGACTTCTCTCAACCCTTTGAAGCCGTCTTGTTGGTAGTCGACCAGCGAGGAAAAGACTTTGTAGATCATACCCGTCGCGAGCGTGCTGTCTAGTCCCTGGGTTGCTCGGTTCTCAAGATACTCGATGCTGCGTTTGATCAAGTAGGCCTGGCGATCCCACTCCGACTCCCAGTCTTTGGGATTCTCAAAGTGCAATTCGCAATCGACATGCTTCGCGACGGGTCCATCGTGATGAGAGCCACTGCTTCGAATCGTCATGGACGCTGTCATGGTGTCGACTCGATAGTTCACTTCGATATAGAAAGGCGTGGGGAGCGGGGTACCGCTTGCATCTTCTTTTAGGATAAGGGGCTTGTAGACTTGCATATGATGAACATTGGCCGCGTAACCCAACAAGTCTGGACGGTGCCTGCTGAGGATGTAATTGCCCAGGGTGAGGCCAACATCGGCATAGAGGGAGGAAGTACAGACTTTGACACCGTTGACAAGATGGCCGTGGGCGATCTCGGCCAGCAAAGGACTCGCAAGATCCGACTCGGCTAGAAGCGTCAATTCTTGGCCACGAAGAGTCTCCTGCACAATCTTTTGAACAGAAGGTGTTGAAGGGGTGGAGATTGGAGATGTCGTGATTGGGTGCTGCGTTGCGATCGGGGCGTCACCCTTTGTGAGCGACCAATCGTGAACATATTGAATCCAGTAGTTCTTGTGGTCCCAGCTGTAGGAAGGCAGTCGGAGAACTTGATGGCATGCCGCGAAGTCTCGGTGGTATTCGTTCCAGTCAACAGCTAGCCCGGCGTTGTATAAGTTGCTGAGGCCATCAGAAAGCACCCGCCAGGGGTCTTCCGCACGACGGAGAGAGGGAATCGTCATAGTATTTTGTCCTAGGCTCGCCTTCAGAAACGTAGAGCAGACGGCATGAGGTCCTATCTCAATCCACAGGGTGCTCCCACTGGTGCTGATCAAGCCCTCGCGCTCTGCAGTCTTCAAAGCCCCTTCGAAGTTGACCGTCTCGCGGCAGTGACGCTGCATGTGGAGTGGACCGATGGAACCGTGATCTCCAGGAAGAAAGATGGAGGCCTCAAGGGCGCAGAGCATAGGGATCTGCGGAGAGTGGAAGGTCACTCGGGAAGCCGCCGCATCGAGGTCCGAGAGGATAGGATCCACCTGAGCAGAGTGGAAAGCAAAAGGAACCTGAACGCGAGTTGCCTTGATATTGTCCGCTGCAAGATGCTCCGCCAGCTGATTGATATCGGTGACCTTACCACTGATGACGACCTCCCGTGGCCCATTGACGCAGGCCACCTCGTGAATATTGGCGTTCAGAAACTGTCGAATCTGCAAGACTGATGCCCGGACAGCGAGCATCGCATGGCTGCCTGCCTCGCACTTATCAAGAAGCAATTGCGCTCTCGTGCCCGTCAGGTAGATGGTATCACTGGCTGAGAGAACACCGGCAACATTTAGTGCAGCGTAGTGCCCGAGACTATGCCCGAGAACGAAGCTCGGCTCGATACCAAAGGATTTCCACAGCTTCGCTAGAGCCATCTGTAAGCAAGTCAAGCTCAGCTGGATCTCGACCGGGCTCGAAGACTCAACGTCTGCCTCTCCGGTGATGAGCGGCAAAATTGAGGGGAGCCCTTGGGATTGGCCGATGCGATCATACGCTTGAATGGCTGACCGGAAGAGCGAGAAAGAGGTGAAGTACTCTTTGCCCATTCCCCCGTACTGTGCTCCCTGGCCGCTGAAGACGAAGCCGACCGAGGGAAGTGTGACCGGCATTCTCTTCACCTCTTCCCGTTGACTCGCGGCGGCGAGCTTACTCAGTAGTTGTTCCGGTGTCTGAGCACTGAGCGCTATACGAAATTGATGATGAGTGCGCCTTGCCGTGGTTGTGTAAGAAAGCTTAGTTAGAAATCCAAAATCTCCTTCCACTTGTGCCCGCTCAACAAATGCCTTAAGGTTATCGAGGTTCCTCTTCAGCGAGCCAACCGACCGGGCCGAAATTGCAACGACATGCGTTGTTCGGGGGTCAGTGAGATTCCGGTCATCGGCAAGTGAGACTGGTGCATCCTCGAGAAGTAAAGCCGAGTTGCCTCCTGCTGCGGAGAAGTTGTTGACAAAAGAACGACGGATACCACTTCCCCCAGCTGGACGGTTCCATGGCGTGGCAGCTCTCGCAATGTGGACATTTCGTTCCGCAAGATCTGTCGGGAAGTGGTGGTTGATCTTTGTCTTGATGCCGCAGTGGGGTGGGATAGTATTGTTCTGCAACATGAGCAGCGTCTTGATCAGCGCCACCACTCCAGATGCAGACTCAGCGTGTCCGACATTAGCTTTCGCTGACCCAAGATGCAGGCTCTGGTGAGGAGAGCGGCCGCCACGACCACCCGTCGGGGCGAAAGTCTTCAAGACTGACGACATCTCGGTCGCGTCACCGGCTTGCGTTCCTGTGCCGTGCATCTCAACGTAGCTTATATCATATGGATCGATTCCTGACTCTCGGAGCAGCTTAGAAAAGATGTATTCTTGGGCTCCTGCATGAGGTCTTGTGATGGATACAGCTTCGGCAGAGTGGTTTGTGTATGCTCCCGCAATCACCCCGAGGATAGGGTCGCTGTCTTCCTCAGCGTCTTCGAGCCTTTTCAAGACAATAGTGCCTACACCATCTGCTCGGCAGTAGCCGTCAGCGCCATCATCGAATGTGTTGCAGTTCCCTATCCGTACTAAATTAGCCATGTTCTATAGGTATTTTTCCTCCAGCCTTGCATCGGATTCGGAGATGAACACTCACCTGTCCTGGACAAGAAATGACCTCGATCCAGGCCGGCAAAGTTGTCTGGGTTCGTCATGATATTGGTGCCACCGGCGATGGCCGTGTCACAGTCGTTTCTCCAGAGAGAATTGCAGGCCATGTGGATAGCTGTAAGACTCGATGAACACGCCGTGTCGATGCTAGCGCTGGGCCCGCTGAACTTGAAGAAGTAGTTCAGTCTACCCGGGGTAAAGGCCCGGTTGCCACCTATTGTACGAACGTGTTAGCAAATACTGATTCTTTGCCAGATAGGCACCTGAAAGCATACCAGGAATGAAGTAGGTATCGACGTTCTGTCCGCTGTTGACTTCTCTCCAGTCATCACTCGTCATGCCATAAAAGACACCCACTCGATCTCGTTGCGTCGATGGCGTCCTATCTGGGACTATGCCGGCCATCTCAAGAGCCTCGTAGGCTGTTTCCAAGGCCAATCTCTGACCCGGGTCCGACTGTTCCGCCTCCTTGGGGGAGATGTTGAAGAATTTGGCATCGAACTGACCCGGCTTCTCAATCCAGCATCCATTCAGGACTTTGCTGGTATTCTTCCGACGACCCGTCGCATCGTAGTGGCTTTCGGCATTGAAGCGGTCCTCAGGAACCTGTCGATGAACATCACGGCCCTGGTAGAGTACATCCCAGAACTCGTCGAGGTTCGCTGCGTCGGGAAATCTTCCAGACATTGCCACAATTGCGATCTTGGAGTGGTGTGACCGGCCTGAGATTACCCTAGGTGGCTGTTCTACTGTTCGCAGCGAAAACAAGGTGGGCTTGGTGATGGAGGAATCCACCCTGCAGCCTCGAGAAACTGATGGCTCCAGAGACGACAAGACGCTGGTAGCAATGCTGGAACTTATAGGTCGGAGGACTTTGTTGGCAGCGTTCGTGTCGGATAGGACACTAGCCACTGAGTTTGAGACGTTTGTGATATTCAATGAGAGAGTGAGCATGTCTTTGACACAGCTCCGAAGCAGTTGGGGCAGATGTAAAGCCTCAAAGACTTTGCCACTTGCCCCAGAGATTACTGGGATACGGGACGGGAAGGGGCAGATTGGCCCGGAGGCCGCAAGTATCTCGTCGACATCAGTCTCGGCGTACAGATGCGGAGCATGATATGGCGCGTGAATAGGTACGGACACGGCGTCTTTCGGGGAAGAAAGCAGAGTTTTTGCTAACTTGTCGAGCACAAGAGGAGGACCGCTGATGGTGAGACTGTGGTGGGATATAGAGCTGATGTATGGAGCCGATGAAGAAGCCAGGCCCTAATCCAGGTGTTAGTGATCTGCGTTACTTCGAAAGGAGTAGGATAGAGTCTGAAGATGACTTACCGTATCATATATAAACCTCCTTAGGGTATCCTCGGCCGAAGTTCGCGGAAGCACTGACTCTGCAACGGCGACAGACCAGCTAGGAAAGTCTTTCGTTTTGACTGAGGCAGCGTCGAAGAGCTCCGCAGTGTGAAGTACGCGCAACCCCAACCGGAACGCAACACGTACAGTGTCGACACCGGCGACTAGTAAGTCACTCAGAGACTGCGAGCAGCTCACTGCTGCGGCTGCGAGAGAGCCGACGCACAGTCCCACTATATGGGTTCCATCCGCTCGAGGATATGAGCGACCCTGGCAATCATAAAATCTGGGGCGGAGAATGTCAGCAACTCTTGTGGGGACCCAGCTCTATGAGGAGATCAAGTAGTTTGTCGTGTGTTTTGCTAGCTTTCTGGAGATTGTGTGGTGAACGTACTGTATAAAAGCACATAGCTGGTAAAAGCACACAAGAGTGCTCTCTAAAGCCGGGTTCTTTGTGTCTTGCTGAAACTTGGAAACGAGATCTCCGACATCAACGAAAGAAGGAAAGTTCTGCCGCTCAGTGACCGGTAGGGAAGAAATCTCCTTCTTGAGAGCAAAGTTTACCCGGCCAACGAAGGCCGTCAGATAGGGGCTATTCTTATTCAAAAGAAGTTCTTGCAATGCTGGCGCAAACCTGGCGGTCTGATCTCCAAAGAGGAAGATCTCGCACAAGCATTCTGGGCTACTTGTAGTACCCATATTGTCTAAAAAATGGCCGACCTAGATGTTGACGAGTAGTCTAGACGAATGTTGAATGCTGTCAGAGAAAGTTGAGGAAATGACTGAAAGGTGTATACAAGATCTCTTCCGCGTGTGATGGTGGCAATAGAGCTGGTCGTGACGAGAAAGGACAGGTTCTGAAATATCCCACGAATGGGGGAGGGGGAGTTACAATCCTACGAAGATAAAGAACTCATTATTGACGAATCATTTCATGCAACTGATTTGTCTTTAGTCGCCTACTAAGGTATCTTATCCCGAGCGCATACATTCATCTGACCGACTTGCTCGGGCTTTGATCCAAAGAGCTGAGCTGTCGGTCGGGACGAGACACCAAAGGTTCTGCGGTACTCCGATGCCCGAAGGAGTCGGTCGGGTATGTTATCCCGGCATAATAGTCTCTTAGAAATGCTTCGCCGATTCATGGTACGATCTGCAGCCACTATGTTGTGCCCAAGTACAAGCCGAATATGCCTGCCCTGAAGTCTTACCGCATTCTTGCTCTCCGGCAGAGGTCAATTCCGATCCCGAGCCCGGTATAAACTACGTCAAGGGGAAGCAATTCTGTGTTGAGGCGTGCTGCAAGTTCATGTTTGCAACTGCGAGTATCTCCTGCAGCCCATCAAAAGAGCAGCAACTAAGTCACACGATGGCTCCTCATGTGGATATCTCGTCGAGTCCCGAGTATACTGGCAAGCTAGGCCAGCCGAGCAGTCTGATTTGTCTAACTATCACGGCGTTCCGCAACCCATCACTCGATGAGAAAGAATATCGACAGTATATGACCAAGGTACACGCGCGGCTTGTGAGCCCCTTAATGGAGGAGTATGGCATTCTTCGGTACAATATGGTAGGCAGCCGTTATCCCTTGGCCGTGCCTTGACGTTAAAGATGACCAATTGGAAAAAGACACACAACACCAAAGAGACAAGACCGATGCTTTTTGAGCTTTACGACCCGCAATTCTCGAAGCTTTCAGAGTACGACTCTATTGTGCAGTTTGTTTTCAAGGACATTGACGATTTCAAACGTATGAAGTCTGATCCCAGATTCATCCGGGAAGTTGCCCCAGATCATGTCAAGTTTGCAGATACGAAACGCTCAACGTAAGTAATAGTAACTTGATGGTCATCTTGCATACCGCATACAACTGGAAAACTGATTTCATGTTCTCCATAGCATGACCGTCGGTTATTTTGAAGAGTTCGTTAAAGATGGCAAGGCCGTAGAAAAAGATTGAATTATTCGATTCGCTTTTTTGTGGATTGAAAGTCTTTATGATGAGCCTATACTGAATTTTGAATATTTCTTCCACGGGAAAACTTTTCAGTTACGAGTTGAGGCTTGCGCGATGTAATATATTAAGTGCTGGAAACTCGCTGCAAGATTAGCTCAATAGAGACGAGGTAACATTGACGCAACCGAATAAGTTGGAGATCGCGTCTGGTACCCCTCAGCAATGTTCTTCGTCGCAAAGCTTGTTTCCCCCGTAGAAGCGCTCTAGAGATCATGTGGACTCAAGACCAGGCAGGCAACTCACAACATATTTTTGGTAAAGTTTCCAGGTTATGAGTTCGTGAGGCATGATTGGGACAAGACTTGAGTTGTACGACCCGGAGTCATTCTACAGCGCCGGTCAACATCTACATACAATGTGTTCCTCGTTCAGCCTTTGGTCCAGTGTATAGCTCAATACCTATTCAGCGTAAGTTCCTTGATCACGAAATGGGGTCCAGTCCGATCTCTAGCAAGCTCATGTTGCTACCCTCTGGTTGTCGCACGCTCTTCAGTTCTAGCCTTGGGTCTGCGGCCTTTAGCAAAGCTTTCCAGTCATCCAGATCTCGCTCGCGAGCATTGAACACCTGACGCATCGTCAAATCACGCGTCCTAATGACTCGCTCCCTCACGGATGGTAGTACTCCAGGCGACGGTAGCACAGTATCCATGATGAGGAGAGTTGACTTCCCAGCTTTCAGCGCCGGTACGAGGTTGCTGAGAATATTGGTAGCCTCGGCATCTGGCCAGTCGTGTATGATCATGCGCAGCATGTATACAGCTGCACCAGTGGTCGTTTGAGGCTCAAAGAAGCTATGGGCCTTGAAGCAGACACGGCTGGTAGATTCAGAGTCGTCTGATACCGCGGTCGTCTTCTTACCATTCACTACAGCGTCTAGATCTTGGACCTCGAAGCTCAAATGAGGATAGGCAGCAGCCACAGCATGGCTAGCGTGGCCAGTAGATCCGCCGATCTGCAAATGGAGTCAGTGATTGATAGGCTTTGACTGACTTGAGGGTTCATACATCTACCACCAAAGATCCCTCTGGCAAGCTGAGCCAGTCAAATCCGTTGACGAGGTGAGCAAGATCCATGCCCTGTCCATCAGTCACGCTCTTCATGTATCCAGAGAACTGCGCCGTCATCTCTGGACTCTGCGAGAGATGATCAAAGAAGGGCAGGCTATGATCAAAAGCGATGTTGTAGGCTGTTTCCGTCTTTTTGACGCTGCCCGGCCACTTCTCGGTTGCACGCACCATGGCGGCAGCAGTTGGGATAGAAGCTCTGAACATATAGCTTGCCCAGTCTCGCATGTTCGGGGCCTTGTGAAACATGGCAGAGCTAGCCGTGTGAGCGACGTGGCCTGGCTTCGGCTCAGCCAAGATTTTGCTGGTCATTGCCATACGCGCCACTCCTTTAAGCAAGGACTCCGGGACCTGAGCCTTGAACGCAAGCGTGTCGTAAGTCACGGTCCCTTCCAATGGGACGTGAGAAAACACGTTGAATTGATGAAGCCACTGAAGTGCAAAAATCGTGTGGTACTGTTACAAATATCAACATTTATCTCCGTGTGATGTAAATGGATGTGGCATACGCTGGCCGTGATGTTGGGCAATAGCTCACTGGGACCAGTGACGAGTTGAAAAAGTTGGAAAGCCGCTTCTGCGACGGCAGTCCTGGCATCTTGAACCTCTTTAGATGTAGTCTTAGTAACAACGTAGACTGGTCCATCTGCGGCGAATGACGGCTGTGGTAGGCCCTCTGCGGCTAGTCCTTCATCCAATCGCTTGGCGGAAGCCAGCGTGGCTTCCGCAAGCTCCAGAAGGAGAGGGGAGGGCGCGGGGATGGAGCCCATTGATGCTAGGTGAAGAAATAGAATAAACTCCTAAATACAGATAATTGAGTCCTTCTGAATTACAAGAAGAAACCCGGTAGTGCGAACAAGACAAGGGCGAAGCTGATGGGGTTCGAGACGTATTCATAGGACACTCTTGCCGTGCAATGAGCTTGACAATAACTCAGGTCCCGAATTTCCAACACTTTGGATTCTAATTTGCTACTCATTAGGATGGGCGTAGTGGGCACTAGGGAGGCGTCAAGGAAAGCGCCAGTGTAGACACTGCCGCGACGGGATAGAGCGGGGCCCGAGAAGGATCCCCGGCATCCGGCCCGACCGAGAGACCCACCCCGACCCGAGGGGCGATGCCCACCCCCGGAATCGTGTCATGGATAGCAAGCGCGGATACATGTCAGGTCTGCTCCCGAAACCAAGCTGCTAGGTTACTTGTGATAGTATTGTATGACTGAGAAACGGCCTTCATTAGTTGCAGTTGTTTCCTTGTATTTGTATACCTCTGCTTGCCAAAAGTCATATCGAGAGCACGCAAGTTTACTTTCGCAAACCAATTCAATTTCGAGAAATTGCTTATCCTCTATCAATTCCAAAAAAACAATGGCATCTCCTACAGTGGCTGTAGTTGGCCTTGGTTAGTAAACTCTAAGACGGTGCAACTGTGAGCCTTGCTAATGCATCACAGGCGCTCTGGGTCTTGTGGCTCTGAAGAATCTTCGGGAAGAAGGCTTCGAGGCCGTCGGATTGGAAAGAAATGACTACGTTGGGGGTTTGTGGCATTTTGACGAAGGAGAGAAGCTCACTGTTATGAGATGTATGTACCACAGAACTAAAAACCTGCAAGCCCCGACCTCAAATGACAACTCCTGATTTTCCGCACAGCTACTCTCTCAAATGGATCTAAGCAACGAGGCTGCTTTACCGACTTTCCCTTCCCCAAAGGTAAATAGTGCCACTCAAATGAGATTCTCAATGGTACATAGGCCTGACTGAATTGCATGCAGGCTCTCCGGACTACATCCCCGCCGCTGGCATTGACAAGTATCTGCAGGACTATGCCAAGCATTTCGGTCTCATGGAGCACACTCGATTACGTACCAGCTTCCACGGTGCCACATTTGTCGAGAAGACTCAGCAGTGGCGTTTGTCTTTATCTAGTCCCGAAGAGCCAGAGCCTCATTTCGAATACTTTGACAAGGTTGTCTTCGCTATGGGTGCGGATCAGAAACCATCGAGGCCTAAGATCGAGGGCATGGAAAAGTTCAAGGGCTTTGTTGAGCACTCAATGACGTTCAAAAAGTTTGTTCTGCCATCACTTTCAACTAACCAGGACTGACTTCATTTAGTCCCGAAGTCCTTGCTGGCAAAAGAGTCATGGTCCTTGGATTTGGTAACACTGCAGCCGACATGGCAACGGAGTTGGCGCCGCTTGCCAGTCAAGTGTATCTCTCGCATCGACATGGTGCTGTCATTGTGAGTCAAGCCGCGTCAGTCGATAAATCTCTGATTTCTTTGCTTTTGAACAAGTTTCTGGGGAACCAGCAGCTGATGCATAGATATCTTAGGTGCCCCGTTGGGTGAAAGGCAAGCCAGTCGACCACGTGCGAACGTATCGCAAGTACGTCATCTTGAACTTGATGAATCGATACACCCCCGGACTTTGGGAGAAGACGATGAACAGCGTCATCTCAAAGCTAGAACATGAGATCTTCGATCTCAAGCCGGAATGGGGTTTCGATCCGGCCCCTTCTATTACTAACCAGCGGCCATTGGTGAATGATGAGCTGATCCCCTGTCTTGAAAACGGGTCCATCATCAGCACCCCAGGCATCGCCCGAGTCATCGACGAGAAGACAGTCGAGACGACTGACGGAAAACGGTACGAGGTCGATGCAATTCTCCTGTGCACCGGCTTTACGGTGGACTACTCAGTTGTCGGCCCCCACGCAGATCCATGCCGTGCAACGACAACAGATTGGGAAAAGTCGGACGGATACACCGGACGTCCACTCCCAAGATTGTACCAGAACATCTTCAGTCTGGACCACCCGCGCAGTCTGGCTTTCATCGGCCACTTGTCCTTCATGAACCCTGCATTTTTCATGTTTGACCTGGCTACAATGGCTGTAGCACAGCTATGGAAGGGTGCGTCGGCTTTCCCGTCTCCGGCTGAGATGGAGAAGCAAGTCAACGATCAACATGCATGGGTCCTCCAGCTTTCAAAGAAGGGTCCTGTCACCCCCTCCATCGTCAAGGCATCTGAGTGGATGGAATGGGTTGACAAGGTGATCGGCACAGGACTACCCGAACATCTCGGCTATAACCTCAACGGATGGAGCTTCTGGATTCGGGATCGCCAGTTCTGCAACATGTTGATGGATGGGTTGCTCAGTCCCCATGCATATCGCTTGTTCCCTGGAAAAAGAAAGGCCTGGCCGGGCGCGCGTGAGGCCATTATGGCCATGAACGTCGATCGTGAAGCTAGGTTTGGGCCAATGGACTGAACACGATTGGGATTAATCTCTCTTGGTCATGTTGTCATCCATTTACTCTCAAGACGTTTAGAGAGTCTCTTAGTTATTAGATGTAAAACATGTCGGTAAAAATCGTTTTGGACAAATAAGTAAGGGCTTCATTTCGAAGTCGTGATTTAAGATACATTGGATGTGTGCGTCGAGGTCTCTGTGGCATACCACAACTTTTCAACCCTTGTTTCCGTTGGTGTAGCATTAATAGGCAGCTATCATAAGCATCAATGTAGGTCCCCGAAGTGCTGAAGATTGTGTATAAGCTGTCCATGAAATGGGGTATGGAGAGAAGCGCACCCCAGGCAACTTGACAAAGAAGAGCGAAATCTCAAGATCTCGCCCATGGAAACCTACTTGGCTTCCAGACATCTTTGGGACATTCTTCACTTAGTAATACTGACAGGAAGAAAACTAAATAGTATGCGAGCAGTCTCAAGGAAGTTCTTTTTCTAGTCTGAGGTTTCAATTCTAAGATCCCAATTGAATGCAAGAACGCGCAAGGCAGCAAACTTGTCGCCCAGGTTATACTTATGCCATGAGTGTAACTTCAGTCTAAACTTGACGATGCTCATCCGAAACCCATGTTTGCAGGACCTTGATCAAACCTTGAACCAATGATTCCCATCTTGCTTTCTCGGACTCCGTACTGCTCCCTACCTGCTCAGATGACACTGAGCTGGGCGCTCCTCCAAGGGGACACTCTGTCTGTATTGAAGCACGATGCTCCCCGCCTTCCAATTCCGGTAGACTACCTGGCAGAAACCCCCGCTGATCAGGACCGTACTCTGGAGGGATTTGGGGCCAGGCGTCGATGCCGTCGAGTATGGCAACTGCCATGCCGCCGGCCAAGTGAGTCTCAATATGACAATGAAACAGCCAAGGGCCGGGGTTCGTAACCTGATAACGTAGAACGAGCCACGCGGACCCATCGAATGAAGTGACGAACGTATCTCTCCAGTTGGGAGTCTCTAGGTTGAAGTTGTGAGGTTCCGCTTCTATCGCTTCGTCGACGGATGAGTAGTTCCATATGCCCAGGCCAGCACCGATTTGCCATGTCTTGCCGGTATGCTTGTGCATCATATGTGGAAACTCCTGAGGTTGCCCGGGCTGAGAGCCGACCTGTAGAACGAGGTCGACCCAACTGCCATTCTTGGTACGGATCACAAGCCCCTCGTCCATGGCATCGGCCGAGTGGGGATCGTACAACAGTGGCTTATATGCGCTGCGGTCTTCCTCGTACATGCCCTGGCCGGACATTGTGTACTTCCACGCAACTTTCCAGCGATGCGTATGCAGGACATGCATTGCATCTGCCTTGCGTGCAGGTGGGTTGGGCGGGAACGGTGGTAAACGATCGCGATCAAGCGTAGTGACGACCAGGCCGACAGTACTATTTTGCCCTCCGTAGTCGATCACTCCGGTTGACTCCTCCTTTTGAGTGCCTCCCTTGTACCGAAGTGTCGCGAACGCCGATATAACTTGCGTCAAGCCATTATCCGCCACGCGAATCGTGTAGTCTTTGGCAGACTTGTCGAGTTTGATCATGACAGCGTACCTTTCGCCAGCGTACATGTGAACTGTGTCTACTCGCTGAGGGACAATGTAGTCTCCGTCGACTTCGTAGACCCACATCTCATGCTCATCGATAGAAAACACGATTGTTTTGAAGGTTGCGCCACCGATGAAGTTGAGACTAACCCACTCGGCTTCCGCATCAACTTCTATGATCTCTTTTGCACCTTCGGAAGGAACGCAGCCCTGTTGGAGGTGTAGTGGAATCGTCTCGGGCTTTCCCTGCCTCAGATATGGGCCCTGGGTAGATTTCATGAATGGAAAGCATCTGGGATACTCATCAGCATTGCTTTCCACGAAAGATTGGAAACACATACCCCTTATCATTTACCTGCCGAGGGTACAAGCCGTACTTCATGTACGTGCTAGTGAGGTTGATCAACTTGTCAACTCCGGGGCAGTACAAGCTACCCTTCCCATTCACAAGAATACTATCGGAACAGCTGAGAAAATTCCCTCATTAGCTCTCATTTCAATCAACCTTAATCTTAACGAACTCACAAAATGGTCATTCCTGAGCTGTCCTCAGCTTCCATGTACTCCCAGGACATGAAGCGAGTCCAATCTGAGATCATCAGTATCTTAGGATCCGCCACAGCTCGGCTCATCGCATTAACGTCAGCTACGCTGTCACTAATAAGATGCCATGGTGCTGGATCATCAGCTCTACGTCTGAGATAGGTGTCAGCTTCACTTCATTGGTGAGCGTGCCATTCATCATTGACAGATCTCTTACCGAACGAAGATTGGCCCGTATAGACCATCCAGCACTGTTGTTCTTGAGTGAGAGTGGTACCAATGAGTGCCCGCGGGAAAGGCCTTGAATCGATATATGAAGCTTTGTCCTGACTCGATTGGTTTTTGAGAGAGGCCGGGACTCCCATCAGACCAAGGCGTTCCCTGCATCCTAGATATCCATGTTTGTCAGCCGAGTCATAACGGTGATAATGAGTTTCGACTTACATCATGCCATGCCAGTGGACGGTCGTGTTGAATGGCATCTTGTTGTGGACAGTAATTTCAATGTCGTCATCTTGATCGCAAATGATGGCTGGCCCAGGGAACTGACCATTGATTTTGATCATTTGCCTCTCCTGGCCATTTGGCGCGCCGACTTCCCATGTAACGACCCAGTCCCTTTGTAAAAGGGCTCCAGCCGCGAACGGCAGTAGCATGTATGCGAGCAGCATAGGCTGCAACTTTGGTGAAAGCATTCTGAGACAGTTGATGGTGAAAGACACGATGCGACTTCTTGAGATAACCTAGAGGAACCATGATATCGTCTCAGGAATTCGATAGATGATGACGTTGACCGCCAAACGTGATCGGTCTGGGGGTTGGCGATGTAAGCCGTGATGGGTGATGTCTGGTCCCGACCCCGCGATCCTTCGGGCCCCGATTTGCCAAGTCCCGAGATATCGGGGTCCGAATATCTTGCTGATCGGCACAGCTGCTCAACCAGAACAAGTAAGTGGCAAAGCTATGGGACCCTCAAACTGCCCACTAAAAACGTCTGTCTTCTAGACTTTAACGAGCTTTAGCACAAGTTTTGTCATAGCTAAACCATACAAAACATCAACTCAAACGGCCTCATGGCAATCGCAGCATCTAAACAGCGGAAGGCCTCGCTTCCCCGGGCTCTCAGAGCTCTTTTCTTTCTCATTTCGCTTCCGCTTCTCGTACAGTACATCCTATCTAGGTGGAACAGAGCTTCACCATCATCGAGTTCCGCGTCGTTCCATCAGAGTTCAACAACACCTGCCGACCAGAACGCGAACCTTACTATTTGGAAGGTCCTTAGCAATGATGAGCGTGTTTCTCGTTTCGCCAAAATCATAGGAGAGCTACCTGACATTGTACGAGGGCTCTCTGCCCCACAAGCTCAGTTTACGGTATATGCTCCCGTCAACGAAGCGTTCGAGTCTTTCTACTTCCCGCCCGATCCACCCCCGTTCTTTGGGCTGTTTATTGCAGGGTACCATATGGGCCCGGGCCCAGTACCTGTAGAGCACTTGAGGTCCGTTGGAACGGTCTCCTCATTTGTCAACGGTGACATATTTTTTGATTACAAGCAACGGATCAGCGTCCAACACACTAGCACGGGCATCACCTTCAACCACGAAGCCAAGTACATTCCCAGGAGAGAGTCTGAGTCAAAGGCCCTGAACGGTCACATCCATCACATTGATGGCGTGTTAGGTTTACCCAATTCAACGGCCCATGTTCTTCGCACGTGGCCACAACTATCGAAGCTTCGCGAGGCGCTTTCGCTCACGAACCTAGCCAACAGTGTCTACGACACAAACTCACACGTATCACAGACGATGTTTGCTCCAACTGATGCTGCGTTCGATCGTCTCGGGCACAAGGCCGTTAAGTTCCTTTTCAGTCCATGGGGAAAACCATATCTTCGGGCATTACTTAAGTGCCACGTTGTATCCAACCACACACTGTTCAGCGACATGTACTGGCCCCATGGTGGTGTTGAATCCGTGGACTTTCGCAAACTCTCGGCTTCGGATCGTCACGAGGTAGGAACAAAATGCTTGCATAAACATACCCTCCTGTGGAATGAAGCTTACTTAAGGAGCAGTATGACTTGTCGACATTGCATCCAAAACTCAACCTGACTGTTGGAAGTCAAAAAACAGACGGCCGATGGCATCTCGACGTCTCTTCCAGCGCTCTGCTACAGGCGAAGGGAAAGAGCAAGCCTGTCTATGTGACCACGTCCGACATTCTCACCATGGATGGCGTGGTGCATCTGATTGATTCTCTTGTTCTTCCTCCCAGTGCAGTAGAGGGAGAAGACGTCTCTTGGCTGGAAAAGATGTTCACAAGCCTTTGGCAGCAGGACAAAAATATCGAAAACCTAGTAGATCTTTTCGGGCCATATGTTGATGAGGAAGAGGCGTTTTCTTGAGTTGTACCTGCAATTCGACCTGGCTGTAGATTGCATAATCTCCTATCGCATATCGCACTGCGAACATGACGCAGTGTTTTACGAATGAGTTGTTTGGTTCATAGCACTCGATAAAGGATTTGGGGTAGACAGTGAATTAGGGACAGGGTTCAGTATATAAGCAAAGTAGTGGCGTGAGGGAATGCTTAGAACAAATTCATCAAATACCGAACCCCAGAGATGCTGAAGAAGAATTTGATTTGCGCATCCTTAGGTCAGGACTATGAGCTACCTCGTATGGCCCTTTGAGCGAAGTAAGGTGAACGCGCTGTGCTACCACGCCAGAGTATTCTCCTTGAGTCTAATTAATTATGTTAGGGGAAAGGGTCCGGTGAGCCAATCGAAGGTCGTCAGAGACGAAATGAGAATGTGTCCAACGGCCGCTGATGTGTCTATTTAGTCTACAGCTGGGTCGCGTGTATTCACTCAACATTCCTTCGAATTGAGTTTATTACTAGTCAGACTATGGACTGGGATTACCCTTTTAACACTCACACGTGTGTGCCGACTTTCCTGTCCCCACGAACTCGGTGATTGCACTACGTGAGAGACACCAGAGGCTGTCAACCGACTTCCGAAAGATGAGACACTTTGCTGAGCTGATAAATAAGGGAGACACTTGAAATTTCTCTTGTCAAAAGTTCGTTGTGTACCTCTTTGATCATCCAAGTATTGTTTGGCGTGGCTTGTCAAGTACCATAATTACTAACACCCAGGGGACCACGTCTTAAGACTTGAAATCAAGTCTTACCTAGTATTAACACAGGCGCGGACAGCAGGAAATCAAGTTCAGCTAGTGAGCATTCCTGGTCATTTATTCAATGCCGCAAATAAGGGCCGTCTGGATATTCTGAGCTTAGGGAGATGTCCAGCACCTCGCACTACAGTCGTTGGCTGATTGGCAGAATGCTGGCCCGGCAATGCAACGCAAACATACTGGCTCCTTGACCAGGGTAAAGATGAATGGTCAAAGTTCAGCCCTAGGCCCAGCCACCAGTAGCATGGAACAAGGTACTGAGATAGCTTGTTAAGCTTGTTGGTGAGCGCGAAAATGCGGTCTCGGTCTTCAAAACATAGCTCGCGAGGCGCCACGGGATGTTGCCCGTTTACTTGAAACACACAAAAGTTCTCAGTTACCCACACTCGGTAATTACAGCCAATCTCGATTTGGCCTGTCCCTACGACGAATCCAGTGTCGCGGCGCTGGGAACTAGCTCAATCTCATTCAAAGGTTTAAACAGGGAAGTTTATAATCCCGTGGGTGAGTGGATAAAGTTCGAGGGGGGTTGTACAGGAAATGGATGAGTCGGGCAAAAGTGGCCAACCTGTTGATTGTTTGACTAAACTGATGGGAAGTCAGAGAGGAACATTAAGATATCACGACGAGGTCAACACCCTGATGGGTACTTATCAAAAGGTACAACAAGTGGAGATGAGAGATACTCACACACTCAGAAATGTTTAACGGGCTTTGACAGGAGGATCCGTAATATTGACTCACTGCAAATCTCATACCAAGTGTCTGTCTCTCGCTCAAGACTGCTGTATCATTCCGAGGATGAAGGGAATGACTAGTGGCCTCACTCACTCGCATTTGTTCCCCTTGCAAATTTTACTAACCAAGGGGGCAATGAGCGACAAAAGGGCTTCTTTCTGAGGGTTCTTTTCCGAGGAGTTCAATGTCAACTAACTTGTTTGTCCGCGTCTCGTTGATTGGTTGAGCTACGTTACCCAGATGCGGCTTACCGGTGGTATTGCGGGTGCAGAGCAGAGCCAACGCAAGCGACACAAGCCAAGAGATCCAAGGATCCAGTCAAGATGCCGGACATGCGACACGGCATAGCGAACCCCTCATGAGCGCTTGAACTTTGCTCGCCACGGCTGCTCGCAAAATCTTACTGCTTCCGTCAGCAAGCTTTCGAACGAGTTATTACAAGGAAAATACTCCTTCGAGTAAGTTTTGGCAAAACCTCTGATAAATTGTGAGGGGATCGTATGACATTGTCAGTTCATCAGACATTGAGTCTCACTTACTTGGAACATTCAGTCGGATTGCTACCTCCCCTTGGCAGGCTGCGGGACGCCTGTCAGCGTGCATACAGGTTACCTTACGCGATAATGGGTAAGTGAGTACTTGAGGGGACCAAGCGAGTTTATGATGCGTTCTCCGCTTTAGGCAGAGAAATCCACAGGAGTGCCTATCTGGGAACAGCCAACAACAAGAAACTCCCAAATTGCGCCACGCGCCCGCGGCAACCCAGTGGTCGAAGGATCGATATGCCTGGAGAGCTACTCTTTGAGGTTCCAAGTTTCTCCAGCAAGACAGTAGAGCCTATTTTGGACAGTCTGAGAGATAATTACGAGTCGTTGTGATGGTGGTCTTAGGTACATACAGGAAATGGTCGCACGCAAAAGTGTCGGGACCGAGCATCTTGTCGCGAGGCTCGCGCGGGACCGCTGGGTTCTCCAACCCCACTTGAATGATTGCCTGATTCTCATGTAGCTGGAATACCAACCTCATCGAGCATGCGTTCGCATCGGTTCCCATATCCTGCTCTAGACTCACTAGACTTCAATCTAATATTCGGAGTCCAATGATGGACCGCCCACCAGGTGGGCGCAGCATTTTCAACGGAATCATTCTCAAAATTCTTCATGTTCTACTGAGCTCCCCTATCTCGGACAGAATACCTTGGCTTCGATTCCACACGCAAACCAGATCTGGAATCATACGCAAGCCCAATCCACACGAATAGTACAGTACTAAGTACTTAGTTATGGTAATGCAATACAATGAATGAGAACACAAGCCAGCTCATTTTTCTTTCAACGTCTCCTGCGCCGCCAGGACAGTGACACTGTGTTTGTTCCGGACAAAGATCTCCAATGCCAGATGCAACTGACTTCGGCTATCGTTCCCCATTGTAATAGAGTGAGGTCCGCAAAACTTCTGAGAAAAGCCATCCAGAAGCTGGCCCATCTTGCCCAGTTCGCTAAGCACAATGTGACCGATCATACGGTCTCGGTTCTCCGCGTCAAGCTCGTAGGGCCCAATGGTCATCGGTGGCACAAACAGGCTCGAATTATCCGCTGCACCCCGCGATGAAGTGTTCGCCCGCTCATGCACAGACTCCCCATCAGCATCGTCGTCTCCTGGGGATGCCACAGAACTGCCCGCGCCATCGCTGACGGCACCGCTCCCGCTGCTACCTGGCCCGCTGCTGTTGGTATCCTCTCCGGGGGACCTACAGTTATGCAGGACGATCTCGTACCAAGACAGAAGACGAAAGAAGGTAGCAGTGACGAGCAAGGCGACACTGGCATTGGACGTACAAGTACAAGACACCGTTTTTGACGCACAGGAGAGCGCCAAACGGCTAGCCGTCAGGATGGCTCCGAGATTCTTTGATGACTTGAACCCTCCTCGGCATGACAGAGATGGATGGTCGAGTTTTGCCAAAGTTGATATGAGCTCGGCTTCGCAGTGCTGCTGTTGGTTTGTGGAAAGACCTGGTAGTCTCGGTGCTGTAAAGTCGAAACTTGCCGTGCCGCTACCGTCCAAGTCTCCCAAAGATGACGTGCCGATGCCGCTGTCGTCTGGAAATATGAATGCATCTGCCTTTTCCAGGTCTTTTGCTCCCTCTGTAACCCATAACGAGTTTGTATTTTCAGGTGTCAACAATTCGGCGCTGCTGCCCCTTGTCAACAGCCCCACGATATCGGTATACGAACCCAGGCCGCCGTCACCTGGCGTAAGAAGAGCGGTGGTTTCATTGTTGGCCAGTGACAGAGTTGCAGTGCGCTCTTCGGCTTCGGAATTTGCCGCATAGTAAGTCCGCTTTCTTGTCCGTTGTGATGGACTATAGCTGCAGGCTTGGCCCCGTCGGATGCATCGTTGACACCACGGCTGTTCCTTTCCGCAGCGTACTTTGGATTTGGCGCAGTTGTCGCAACTCTCGCGGTAGCTCTCTGCCGCGTTGGTACGAGGAGGTCGAGGATTCATTGTGGTATGTAGGATTACTCAATGCGTTTCTACTAGAAAGACTTGAGGCAGAATAGGAAATTGACAGTTAGGGCTATGGCTAGCGCGCCAAGAATAGCTAAGAAATGCTTATGCGTTTTAAGAATCTGGAGAACAGCGGCTTGTGAGCCCATCGGAAGGCCCTATCGTCTTTTCATCCATCATGGAGGCATCATATAAGGCTCTGGGTATGGTCTGATGTAGTGGATCGGATGTAAGCACGTCTGGCAGGTTTGCAGGCATGTAAGCAGGCAACAGCTGAGACCATAAGCCTATCTCCCTAGTTCACAGTGTTAGAAGAATTGAGGAACTTGACAAGTACCTTCTTGGAACCTGATCTAGCCTGTGAAAGACTTTCAAGGAGACTTTGCCTTCCACGCTACCTCCTAAGTGGTCCTCGTACCTTACATCCCGGTCTGCAGAGGAGGAGCAACCCGGCCGCTGCGGTTGGAAGTGCCCTAGTGGAGACTCACGCCGCTCGCGTAAGTTGCAGGATCAATGCTACCTTCCTGAAGTAATCAACACGAGACAATGACCCAAAAGCCAATCCATCTGGCAGGGAACGACAGACGCTTGTTGACAGTGACATTATTAGATACATGTATTATTGAAAGCCTGCAGGGCCGGCCGTGGCCCTTCCCCACCCATATTCAGCTATCTGCAGGCCCGACATAAGGTGGGTGTTGATGAAAGATTCGACGGACGCCATTGGCTGTCGGTTTGTTCTGCCCGGCCCCACCCCGGCCCCGGGCCGATCCACGTCGGTCCGATCATTGGATGCCCGAATCTGCACGGCAGACAGTCCTGCAGGTCTCAGTGAAGAGACGGGACCGCTGACGACCGAAGCGAGTTCATGTTCTTCGTATGAGGAGAATGATGCTACTTATTCCGGAAACCGCACTTCGGTCAGTGTCGATTAGGACTTCACAACGCAGCAATGCTCTCCCGCATCTTTGACGCCACCATCACATCTCCATTCATCCGCAGATCAACATTACACAACAATTTTACAAAGATCCTGCCTAAAATGACCTACAGCTCTGCTTCTGCTTCTTGGCGCAACGAATCCTTCGGATTCGACCCTGCCCAAGATGCTCAAACGGGTGGCAGTCACGTCGTCGAGGAACTATTGAGAGCTGTTCCAGATCTCAAACTCTATACTCGCCTCTCTCCGCGCTACGAATCCCTCCGAGCCGGCTACAATAAGCTGATTAAGGCAAAACCCCTCGTTCTATGCCGACCAAACTCGGTTTCCCAAATCCAGGCTATCACAAAGACCGTGGCGAGCCTGGGCGTCCCGCTTGGCGTACGCTGTGGCGGCCATGATGTCTTTGGGCGCGGATGCATCGCCGACTCCGTAACCATCGACATGCGCGAGCTCGATACGCAAGACTTGGCAGAAGATAAGAAGACAGTCACCGTAGGCGGCGGCATTCTCAGCAAGAATCTTGTCGGATTCCTCGACTCTCACGGACTTTGCACTTCCAACGGACTTGCCGCGGAAGTTGGCTGGACGTCTTGGGCATCTTGGGGCGGCTATGGTCCTCTTGGTGACTATGTAGGTCTTGGAGTCGATAATATCGTCGGCGCCAAGTTCGTCACGGCCACTGGTGACCTGATCGAGGCCAGTGGGGACGTGCTATGGGCCCTGAGAGGGGCCGGCGGAAATCTTGGCATCATCGTCGAGACCAAGGTGCAAGTCTATCCGATGACGAAGATCCAGGCCGGTTTCATGGTCTATCCGTGGGAAGAGACTTCTAGAGTCCTCAAGGGTCTGCAAGACCTATTGGATGCCGGTATGCCCGACAAGCTTTGCCTGCAAGCTGGATTCAGTAAGGGAGATTGGGGTCTCGGCATGGCCCTGACTTACATCTGGCCTGAAGCCGAGACCATAGGAACCGAAGGCCAAGAGTGGCTGCAGAAGCTGAAAGCTCTTGGCACCGTGATCGTCGATACAATCCACGAGAGTGAGTTGTTATGAGGCTCTTTACTTGACCAAGACCTAAAGCTAATCTCAACTAGCAACTTACAAGGACTTTCAAGCTTCTGTATCTGACCAGATCAGTGAGCCTGTGTATGTGTCCACACGACATGTGAGCATCGAGAAGTTCACGGAGAAGATATTGGGGCAGTTGATCAGTGTTTGTGAGGCGATGCCCGATGAGGCGTCATGCACAATCAGCGTCAATATCTTGCATGGCAAGGCCACCAGGCCAAATGCCGCTTCATCTTTCGGAACTCGAAAGCCACACATCATGTTTCACATCAACGCCGTCACCGATGATGCCTCAGCCGAGAAGATTGGCGTTGAATGGGCTGATAGCGTTGTCAATACTATCAATATTACGGGCGAGAGCATTGGCCCTACCTATGTCAGCTTCATGGAGTCGACTGATCGCGCTGAGAATTGCTACGGCAGCAATTGGGCAAGACTACGGGACATTAAGAAGAGCGTCGATCCTCAAGATGTTTTTAGATATTCACACGGTCGGATCCCGATTCAGTGAGAGGAGTTTCGAACTTGTAGAATAGGAACTCGTGAATGCCCCCTTATACGGGAGATAGTCTCACAACTAATGTAGAGACCCCAAGCCCTTGTGCTCAGATCCAGATGAAGGGTCAAACAGCCCTACATTTAGCAATATTCGGGTGAACAGTGTCCATCGCAGCCTTCTTTTTTTTTTCCTCTCTGTCGGTAACAATACATTAATCTAGTTGAAGATTGGGACACAATTGTTCATCATATGTTAATGTGCCAAAGTCAAGTGCCGGTCACAAGTCATCGTTGAGCACATCACGGTGCGGGAAATATGAATGTTACAGGATCACTTTTATGATGTATGTGTTACTTAGGATTGTGTGTATATACAATGTACCTATCTAGTCTAGTCACATTATTGCCGCTCGCTCCATGTCTCTTGTTTGTAATGGCTACAGGTTTCTCTCTGGTGAGGCCAAACTACTCCAAGTCTGAATCCCGTACTCAGTCATGTCAATAATATGGCATACCAGTCATCGTAATCTGTTCTATGTATGTCCTCACGAGTCATTGTGCCGGGGTCTTGGTTTAGCCCCTACCAGAGGGCTCTAATGTACAAATTCCTTTCCCTTGACATTTTTCCATTCAACTCCCAATGCAGGGAGTATTGCGAAGCAAGCAGCCGCAAGTCCTACATAGAAATAGCTCCGTAGCGCCGCATTGTATTCGACCAAGACATTTCCAAGGATATCAGGAGGGAGGAAATTGCGCAGCTGAGTAGCGCCAGCACCAATCACCCGATCGACGTCCAGACCCGAGAAGGTGCCAAGTCTTGACCTCAGCTCGTTGTTGAAGACGGCTTGGGCAACGCAGACCAGGACAGAGCCACCGAGGGACTGAGCAAAGAACATGAGCGACACGCCGATGGGAACATCTTTCTGCGCGAGGGCCACTTGGGCTCCCAGGCTAGCCAGTTGCATGCCTTGACCGATGCCCAGTCCAAGAATTATTTGGTATCCAATCCAGGTGCGTGTTGGGGTGTCCACAACAAAGGTGGAAATGAGACCGCCGCCGACGGCCATGAAGATGACAGATGAGAAAAAGACCGGGTTGAACCAACCAATGCCGTTGATAACGCCTCCTGATACGATGGCGCCAAAGACGAGAGAAAGTACGAGGGGAAGTGTGTCGATGCCAGAAGTGACGGCGTCTGTACCGCGAATACCCTGGAACCAGATCGGCAAGGCAACCAGGAAGATGATGAGCACCGCCCCGAGACAGAATGCAAAGATGGTTCCAAGCCAGACATTCCGCAGCTTGAACAAGCGAGGGGGTACGGTGGCGTTCTCCTGCTGCCATATTTGAATGCCAACAAAGATGATGAGAAGCACGCCGGCAAGGACGAGGAGGGCAATGATGCGGCCTTCGCTCCATGGGTACTTCTCTCCGCCCCATTGCAGCGCCAAAATCAAGCATATGACGCCAGGAAGGAAGACAAGATTACCAAAAGGGTCGAGTTGCTTGATCTGCTGCTTGATCGGTGTGGGTTCCTTTGAAGCGAAGCTCGGGAAGAGGAAAAGCAGGGCGGCTACAGCCGCTCCTCCTACAGGAAGACTATAGAAATACAGCATTAGCGATGTCTGGTCTTACTATGCAGAAGAGATGCAGAAGGAATGCAATAGGATTGCTTACTTGATGTAAAAGCACCATCTCCAGGTGACGCGATCGGTGAACGCTCCCCCGATGAGTGGCGCAATCACTGAGGCGATTCCAAACACGGCACCCATCATGCCGACATAACCCGCGCGCTTGGAGAGAGGTGTGACGGTCGTGATGAGAATTGTCGAGCCCGAGTATATGCCCGCGGATCCCGCTCCGGCGATGGCCCGGCCGATGATGAAGGCCACCGAGTTAGGCGCGACGCCACATAGGAGAGAACCGAGCTCAAAGAAAAAGATGGCGATGAGGTACACGACTTTTGTCGAGTAAAATGTGAAGACGCGACCCCACAGCAGTTGCGTGGCCGAGCTTGTGATGAGATAGGCGCTGGCGTACCAGCTGATATCGCCGAGCGATTTGAAGTCGTCTGTGATGCGGGGAATCGCCGTTGTGATGATTGTGCGGTCCAGTGCGACGAGGAACATGGCAATCATGTTTGATAGGATGATGACGGCGAGCTTCAGCCCGTGGGGGTACTGCGACTCATCCTCGGCCTCTTGCTTTGCTGATTCGGAGGAAGGATTCTCGGTCGGGGTGCCCGTGGTAGCCCGATCGGGTGTTTCCACCTTTTCGTGATCCTCCGACATGATCTCTTGACCTGAAAACGTAAAGATATGTGTGAAAGTATTGCTGATTTGTCTATGCTTTGGGATAGCAGAGAATGGCTTGGAAAGTAATGAGAGATGTCGTCGTAAAGCTGTAAGAGCGCTCCATCTTTAAAAGCAATCTCATTTCACTGAGAAGGCACGAATTGGGTCCCAACATGCCTTGAACTCGAGATGCCGTCGCGGAGCGGCACTCGGTATCGGGGTGCCAGCATCTTCGGGGATCCATCGCGGGGTGAAAACAACAAAATCGCGGTCCCGCCGTCGGCCCTTAGAAAGACTTGATCTGCCATCCGAGACAGGCACATGGAATTCAGGCAACGATCGACCTTTAGTTCCCGCTCGCTTAGCTTGCCAAGCACGTCAGGAATATGGGTGAATACGAAAGAAGTTGGTGTGAAGGTGACTTGAATGCGAGTTCAAACCCCCGTGGTGAGGTCGGGCACTTGGTCACCTCAGCTCGGGACCGAACGGCTCCAGGACCCCGGTCAGCAGCCCTGAGAGCGGTCCCGCGCGGCGGCAAAGGGGTTTGTTGGTTGTTGCCAGTGATCGAGCTAGTCGTATGATCCTTACAAACGGCCGCTTCTGGATCTCCTGGATGTCAGCTAACCGGCTCTAGCCTGCTTATGCTCATTCCCGCTGTCACTTTGTTGTTGCGGCACACCTGCAGGGCATGTAGCTAATGCATGTTCCCTGCAGCTGATAACTGAGTCTTATCTGCGCTGCTGTTTACTTGATGGCTTGAACATACCTTCTGCATTCCGCCCTCTCTCTTCAATCTAAGGTAAATCAAAGAAACTTTTTCATGCCCATAATTTTCCTCGCGACCGTCCAACAGCGAGTTGCGAAACACAGGAGGATTGAACTTGCTTAGTCTACACTTCGTTCGAGGCTTGCTTTACGTTGGAACTTGACCATATGGCTGAACTCAAGATCACCAGAGGGCACTCATGTGGCCCATGCCAACACCGCAAAATAAGGTGCAACGGTCAGTCGCCTTGTGCATACTGCATTAAGACGGGAAAAGACTGCGTCCGACTCCCACGCTCTGTGCAAACTGCAAATACCCATACTGGTCGCACAGCTCAAGCGCGACTCCTGTCACAGAATGGTTCAGCCACTGCCAAAGGCCAGGTTGTTGTCAGTGGTGACCAGCGCCGCTATGTAGAAGAGTAAGTGACCTGTCCACCAGCGAGCAGTATCGTGATGTAAGCCCAGCAAGCTGACACCGCTCAAAATCCAGCAACAAGTTATGGTCAAGTCTGGGGAATGAAGTGAGTTCGACAGTTTTCTATATACCTCATGTATCTCGGATTCAGACTGAGGTGATCTAATTCTGGACAGATGGGCAAGAAGGACCCAAGTCCTACCCCAAGCAGCACACCAACGCCGTCCAGAATTGAGCTACCCACGACAAATATCAACCTGATATTTGGGCACAAACTGGATTCTCCAGTCATGCTGCATCCCTCGGCTATTCAATCATTTAGGCTTTGGCAGGTGTTCACCACCAACGTGCATCCTTTGACTAAGATACTCCACGCGCCGACAGTGCAGCAAGAGCTTATTCAGGGGCTTTCTGAGCCGGACTCTATACATGGTCCGACCGAAGCCCTCATTTTCTCGATATATCTTGTTGCAGTAGTGTCTTTGACCGACGAGGAATGCCGGAGCCAGCTTGGTGAACCGCGAGAGAAGCATTTGGCGAGGTATTGCTACGCAACTGAGGCAGCACTGAGCAGAGTCGATTTTCTGAGATCAACAAACCTCAAAGTGCTGCAGGCGTTCACTTTCTACCTGGTTAGTTCCTCGCATCACCATTTCCATCAAATTGAAGTCACCAAACTGATGACTGCTAGCTGTCTTTGCGCCACCTTTGCCATCACGACATCTTGTGGCTCTTAACCGGGCTAGCAACTCGCATGGGCCAAAGGATGGGCCTTCATCGAGAAAGCTCGCTAAGAGACTTGCCGCCATTTGAAGCTGAGCTGAGACGTCGGCTTTGGTGGCAAATCGTCATTCTTGATGGCCGCACAGCGCAGCTCACAGGAGCCTCTATGAACCCCGGCATTCAACTATACGGAGATACGAAGCAACCTCTAGGAGTCAACGACGATTACCTCGTCCCGTCCATGAGCGCTTTGCCCCTCCCGTCTCCTGTCACTACCGAGATGGTGTTTTGCTCAGTTCGCATTGAAATAGGAGTTTGGATGATTGAGCAGAAATGTCTTCTTGACTTTGCAACATCGCATGAACGAAGAGCCAAGTTTCTCAAATCCATTGACGAGCTTGAAAGTCATATCGAGGAAAAGTATCTCCGATCCATCAACACAGATATTCCGTTGAACCTGTTGACAACGTACCTTGCTCGATCTGCCGTCTGTCAGCTGAGACTATCCGTCTACCACCCCAATCATCGGCCTAAAAGGACATCTGAACTCGATGAAGAGCAGATGGATATGCTGCTAGAGAACAGTCTCGAGGTCATTCGCTACGATATCTTGTCGCACTCTACTGGCTCTCTTCAACGCTTCCTGTGGCATATTGCCAACTTCTTCCCTTTCGAGACTTTTGTCCTCCTCATTAGCGCCCTATCTGGTCGTGCCGGTGGTCAGATTGTCGACGTAGCCTGGCATGTCATCAACCAAGTTTACGAGCACCACCCTTGCTTCATCACGGATTCGAACGACTCATTGTACTGGGCACTTGGGAACCTCACGTTGCGAGCCTGGCAGCAGAGGATCGCAGCCTCGAGGAACGTCGGCATGGAACTGCCTTCGGAGCCACCCTGCATAGGGCAGCTTGCGCGCCAGCGGACGAACATGTCACGTAACGCACAGCCGAAGCAACAAGCCCCGACTCTAAGTACCGCCAGTGACGGTCCTGCGACACCCCAGGAGATGCCCCAAGTTCGGGACTGGCTGCAAGACACTGGCCATGCCTCTAGCATGGTGCAGCAGCCAGCATCTTATGGCCAGGACATTGTGATGCCAGGGATAGAAGAGGAAATGAGTGGGATAACCAAGGGGGTCGACATGGATTGGAACTTTTGGCAAGAACTACTGGACGGAAACGCTCGGGAAAGCCAGGAATGCTTCCCTTTCTCTTCTTTCATGAATAAAGTTTGAATTGGAACTACTGCTACCTTTTGATCACTCGACAAATGATAGATACATGGACATCCTTCATGCGCCGATATAGACAAAGCAGACATCTTTGGTGTACCTATTTAAAGTAGTCAAGGCGTCAAGGGTTCCACCTCCTAGGCAAGTTAATAAGGACGTACTACCTTAAGCCAAGATCAGAAAGACACCAGACGCCAGGCTGCTCAATGCTACATGCCGTATATGCGATCGCTAGCTCTTCATAGAGGACTCTAATTTGCATCTCAAAGAGATACGGGCGGGATAGCAGGGCTGAGGTGAAAAAAAACCTACACGCATGGTCGTGCTCTGCAGCATTGCAAGCGCTCTTTTCTCTCTGGTCAGAACCACGTAATCTTTCCCGCTGCCCATCACCTAAGCTCTTCTCGACTTCCAAAATGCGAAGTGATCTTTGCCATGAGGTAAGCTGACGTTCCCCATCCCATCTCCGGCCGTTTCAATCACCTCGTCCGGCCTTACGCGACGAATCAAGTTTCCCCGCATAGATCCTCCGCCGCACTTTGCTTAGAGAAGAGGATGAGAAGCGATCCTTGGGAATATCAACAACGAATGAGATGTAGTTCCGTCGCTAGGTTCGGTCGGAGATTCTGCAAGATGGTGTACCGATCCTGGATTGAGGGGTTTGCTTCAGGTATGTTTTCTCACAGTGCCTCGGTCTTTTTAAAGTATTCCTCGGCCGACCGATTCCATCGTTTTCTGAACAATTGCCAGTGAGGAGGGCCAGTAAGCATTAAATCAACCTACTCAGAAATATAAGCAAGCTGACAAGACGCTTTCTGGCAAGACTCAGACTTTCATTCAGACGATTACATCCCAAGTTCATTACACTATTGACCAAATTTTTCAGCCTGCGATCTTACTCGTGATCCTCAAAATGTCCAGTCAAACACCATTATACAAGCCCCTCCCGGCCCCCCGGCGCATAGTCACAACTCACAACGCCGCAGGCCAAGCGATCCTCATCACCGACCTCGCCTCCGAACTCCCCAAAGGATCCGTCCCGGGAACAGACCTTTACCTGGCCTACTCCTCTCCCTCCCTCCCCGCTCCGCTCCCCAAAGACGCCGATCTGAATGCCTACAAGACCCACCTTACCTTGAAGCCGCCCCTCGAAATCGGCATCGACATCCCGGGAGGCCTCGCCGCCCGCGTCGTTGATTTCCTCCCCGGTGGGCCCGGCGCGCCAATGCATCGGACCGAGACCTTGGACACGGGTGTACTTGTCGAGGGCGAACTGGAGCTGGTGCTGGACAGCGGGGAGACGGCTGTGCTCAAGAGGGGAGATGTGTATGTGCAGAGGGGCACGATGCATGGGTGGAGGAATGTGAGCGAGACAGAGACCGCGAGGTTGTTTGTTGTGCTTACTGCGGCGGAGATGCCTGTCTTTGGCGGGGAGAAGCTCAAGGAGGTTATGCCTGTCCCTCCCACCGATTCGGGGGCCGAGTAGTGTCGGTTGAGAGATCTTTCTCGTATGTTTCGATGCGCGATGATAAAGTTTCGGTCGCAAGAACGGTTGATGTATGGGGGTGTTTTTCATCTTGAGTGGAGGCCCGAATCCGTCGCCGTCGAGCTGCACGGTAGCTTTAACACACTACAGGAGGTCAGTGTAGTAACGAAGGTGCAGGATTAAGCGTTGTCGAATTTCTTGAGTCTTAAAGTAGGAGGACTATTAAGTGTCCATATTGTTACATGACCAACATCTTTGACCCGACTACGGCATGCAATTGCGATAGATTTTCACGGCTATTGACCCGCAATCTCGATCTGAGCCGTTGCTGAACAGTCAGTAGGCTGTGAGGGAGTTACACTGTGAGACCGACACGCAAAAGCATTCAATTCGTAGTGGACATTAAATATCGTATGGCTATCTCGAACTTCGGGGTATCTAAATCTTCTCGCGGCAGTATCCGGTCGTAGCACCAACCGATTGGCATTTCTGTGTGGGATTGGTCAGTGATTTTGTCTCTTCCAAGATCATTGTGCCAGCTAACCTTGGTCCAATCGCAGTTGTTAATGGCCTTGGAGGGAATGAAGGCGAAGAAGGACTTTTTGTATCGGTGGCACTCCTTAAAGTTCTGCCCATAGTATCCTACTGTCCCGGGGTCCACGCAAGCCTTGACAGTGTCTTCGTCCCAGGGGATGTTGTCCTGCAGTCTGCCCTCGTACATGAAGTTGCTTCTCTCGCACCTTTTCGTTGTACAAAGTCAGTCCAGGGCACTTCTGGAAGTTCTGTAGGGATGATGCAGTCTATTTACCAGCAAGTCTTGTACTTGGCGCATGCCTCCGTAGAGGTAATGGCAACTGCCGTGATCGTAGCTAGGAGGGACAACTTCATTTTGACTTTTGATGGCGGCAAGATTAAGCTCGTAATGCGGATAGAGTTGTTAGAATTTAGCTTCAAGCCTTGAATAGCTCAAAAGTCTCTTGGGGCAGAAGAGACCGAGACTGAATTGATATAGCTTCGACATTGTGCGAGATGTGGAAACGAGTCAGTAGTCTCCAGAGATACTATCATCTGAGCGGGTGTGAAATTACACCATGTAGTGCAGTGGGTTAGCATGACTCGATACGAGATTTGGTCGCCCACCGTACCAGTGTTTTTGGAAGCTTAAGCTTCTAACATAGATTGCTCTAGATGAGAGAGCCACTGCAAGCACCGATGATCCGGCACGTTTGCGGCAATGATGATACTACTTGTGCGTGTGGAAGGCCGTGTTGTCAAAAGACCGTTGGCGTTTCCAGGCGGATATGAACCAAGCCTACCCTTGCACACAATAGTCGACCCTCCGGCACGATAGGCCGGGCGGCGCGGATGCCGTTGATGACTATTGCCAATCGGTGAGGCTCATGTCTTCTTCACCTGCATCAGCTTACCAGCAAACCACGCTGTCCGGGCCATAATGTATGTCGCAAGGAAATCGCGCGATGGTCAAGACTAGGCGCCTGCTCCGATGCCATCCAGCGCAGAGTAAGAGGAGCCTATCACAGAAAGAATCAACAGCGACAATAGGATAACAAGTCATTAACTCTATTAACATAGTAGTTTGGTCATTACTGAGGTTCATGTCTACTCAAGAAAACGAAAGAAAATTCTATCCTTATCTAACCCAAACATTTCATAGCCTTTTCTTTTTAAGGCTTGCTAACTTGCTCCTTTCTGAAGAACTTGAAGTAACCAATGCAAATGAACAGGTTGAGCAAAAGCACAACCCAGAACCAGCCGTTGGCAAACGCGATACCCAATCCTTCGCTGATATCAGGGAAAACAGGACCCGGACCGACGTTGTTAGGTGCGGTGGCGCGAGCCAACATAGTAAAGATGGAACCCAGAACCTGGGCGGCGACACAGGCCGCCGCGACGTGCACGCGGGTAAGCGTCAGCATGAGAATCATACCGATACCCGCGCCCTGGAGACCGTCGAGGACGCCGAGCCACAGCCAGAGGACACGGCTGAGGACGGCACCGGCGACGGCGCTTCCGGCCCACGGCATCCAGAGGCCGATGCGGGAGGTACCCCACCAGATCTGGGCCCAGCGCGGGGCGCCGAGACCGACGGCGAACATGGGGAACAACCAGGGGTGGCTCTCGCTGGCCTTGGCCAGGCCCCAGAGGACAAGGGCCCAGACGATGATAAAGAAAAAGAGGGCGAGGATGACCATGCTCCAGACGGGCACGTGCTGGGACGCGAAGAGGAAGAACCAGTTGCGTCCGAAGAGGGTGCTGAGGAAGTAGTTCTGGATGCAGACAGCCATGAGGTACCAGGCAATGGTCTTACGCTTCATGAGCGTCTTCCAGAGCTGGGGAATGGGGCCGGGAGTCTGGCGGTAGAAGTCGGGCAGGCCGAGGTAGAGGATGGCGCCGATAGTCCAGAGCAGGATGGCGACGGGAAGGCAGATGCCCAAGAGAGCAGGCTTGCCGGCGAGAGTAGGCTTAGCGACACTGTTGGCCTCGGCCTCAGAGACCAAGCTACCCCAGGCCCAGAGACCGAGGGTGTAGAGCTGAGTGAGACCTTGAATGATGGCAAGACGCTGGATCCACTTGGGGACGGTGGAACCGCCATCGGTTCCGAAGTTGAAGGCGAAGGCAAGGGATCCGGAGGAGGAAGCAAAGGCGTAAAGACCGGTAGCGGCGTTTTGGAGCCAGACCATGGTGTTGTTGTCACCCGCAAAGGGAGAGCAGCCGAGGACGAGGAAGGCGATACCGTAGACGGCGTAGGGGGCCGAAAGCGGGTAGAGCAGAGGCATGGTGCGCGACAGGACGTACCAGAAGACGGACGAGACGAGGTAGATGGTGGCGATGATGTAGAGCTTCTCGGCGGTCTGGCCAACTTCGCCGGTGAGAAGAGTCACCTGGTAGGAGTTGGTGGCGATGACCTGGTTGAGGGCCAGGAGCATCGCGTAGACGGGCCAATCGCCGACGCGGTACTGGAGCCACTTCCTGACACCGGTGGGCGCGACGTAGTCATCGGGGAGGTCGAACTGCGCGTTGTACGAGCCGGGCGAGTCGGGGGGTGTTCTGCTGTCGTAGGCGCCGTTCGGGTCATCGGCGGCCATGCTGTTCATCAATCCGGACTTTCTGGCACGACCACGCTCGAGAGGCAAGCTCAACTTGGAAGAGGACTTGTTCTTGAACATGCCGAGACTCAGGCGGGAAGCGTTTGGCGAAGAGGCTCTGGATCTGGACTGTCCTCTGGCCGACGAGGGGGACGCGGAGCGACCCAGCCTGGCGTCGAGGTACATGTCGAACCATTCCTTCTCGGACTTGATGAGGTAGTCCTCAATGCAGAGCTCAGAGATGGAGTTACCGGCGTTGAGGGCCTTAAGCTTCTCCTCAAAGTGCTCGTAGAATTCACCCTTGGAGTCAGTGAAGAAGGGATCGACCTGCTGGAGCTTGTAATCATGTCTGTCACCGACGACATCCTCGACACTAAGCATGGAGGCTCTCGAAGAGTTGTCCTGTTGCATGCCAAGACCACCACCCGGGGCCGGGAGAGGCAGAGTGTCGGCCATGGAGAAGCCAGAAACATGGCGGCTGTGGACACCATCCTGGCCAGCCTGTCCGGGAAGAGAGAAGTTGCGGCTGTGAGTATCAGAGATGTTGCGACCATGTTCCATTTGTCTCCCGAACGGACCAGGAGATCCAGCGCGGGAGCCGTACGGTGAGTCGACGTAAGCGGGAGAAGGTGACATGGAAGGCGATCCGGGGGTGCTGGTGTACATCATGGGAGTCTGCATGCCGACGGGAGTTTGCATGCCGGCGGGAGTAGTGCGGCCAGTGTGGAGAGTAGTGCCATCATCGTCGTAGTCGGAAACCTGGCGCATCCACGCGGGGGAACGGTCGACAAGCTCGACTTCACCGCGAAGAGGCTCCTGGATGGAACCGGGGCGGGTCTTCTTGACGAGGACGTTGCCCTTCTTGAGACCCTTCTTACCGTACTTGGCATGAGCGCTGATACAACCTTGCTGGAGCTTCTCAAGCTTCTCGAGCCACTCGGCAACGGGGAAACGTTGCTTGGCTGACCAGGCACGCATCATGGCTCTGGTCTTGGTATCCGTGCCGAGAGCGTCCTTGATGGCGTGCTTGAACTGCTTGGTAAGATGGGCGGCCTTGGTCGATTCGACCGTGTACCACCAACCGGGCATTTGACCGAGACCACCGACGCGGGCACCGACACCCAAGGCACCCTTTCTACCGAACTCGACGGCGACCAAACCGAAAGGCTCGTCTCTGGAGGGAATCAGGGCAAACTCGGCGCCGCTGAAGATGTAGGGCGGGAGCGCAGTGAATTCGGGCTTGGAGAAGACACGTCCGGGATAGAGCTCCATGAGCTTGGCGAGCTTGAGAGCAGCGAAACGTCCGTAAAGATCAATCATGGGGCCAATGGTGATGAGCTGAGCCTTGGGGTAGTTGTCGAGAACCCATGGGAAGATATCGGCGATGAGATCGACACCCTTTTGCAGGGACCAACGTCCGACGAAGACGAAGAGCTCAGCTTCAGGGTCCACGTTGAGACCGGCCCACTCCTGGGCCTGGCGTCTCAAGTCACCACGGCTGGCCTCGTAGGCGGGGTCGACCTCGATCTTAGGCTGGTTCATGAAGTCGTTCTTGTCCCAGTCTGCGGTATCGGTAGGATCGGGGTTAGGCAGCTGGCCGACCTTGTTGAGACCCCAGAAAATGGGATAACGAGCGAAGGAACGATCACCGTACTTGCGGGAGACACCGACAGCACCGAATCCGTTCTGGTGGACGCGGAGATACGAGGCACCGGCGTGGAGAAGGTTGAAGACTGGATGGTTGTAAGCAGCTGAGCGTTGAGATCTCTAATGTGACGTATCGTCTTACCTGAACCGTATTGGACATATTTCTTGACAATTTCAATATCCAAGTTATAAGCTTTGCACACTTCGGCGCTCTCCTCGGGGGTACGCATGGGCCAGAGACCCTGGAACTCGGCGTTGTGAAGCGAAAGGGCGACGGGGATGGTCTTGGGCAACAAGTAGAGAGGCGCGATGGAACCGTGGTAATCGTTAATGTGGTACATGTCGACAGGGAAACGGTTGCAAGTCTCGGCGATACATTGGTTCCTTCAAGGCTTGTTAGCACACAGTCGTCTAGACGGGAGACATATAATAACGAAAACTTACCAGGCAGAGTAGTAGATAGCAGACTCCAAGTCATCCATACGTGGGGGGTAAGGCTCAGACTTAGTCTGCTTCCTGAAGACAGGCGCATCGAGCAGGACGTAGGTGATGTTGTCCAAAACGTGGTACTGGACCTTGATCTCGTACTCCTGGTCCATAATCTTGACGTACATGCTCGGCGCAATCTGATCGATGGGGTACTCGATATCACCGACGCAGGGCACAACCCACACGAGGTTCTGGTGCTTGAGCGCCTTACCCATCAACTGGGCCATGACACCCAGACCACCAATCTTGATCTTGAGGTTCCAGTCGTCAATGTTGTACTCCATGGTCGCGATCAGCACCGTCTTGCGCTTGTTGCCTGCGGTAGCGGCGGCGGCGGCGGTGACGAGGTCAGTCGAGCTGCGCATACTGAGGGGGATCGCACCGGCGGCGCCCATGAAGACGTTGCGGGTCTTTTGGATCATCATGTTGAACTTGGACTGGTCGTGGACACCGTGCTCGTTGAACTTGACCTTGTAGAAGGAGCGCTTGAAGGCCTGGACGGCGGCGAGACCGGTGAGGACTGGGACGATGAAGAGAAGCAGCCAGAGGAAGAACTGGATCCACATGTTACCCTGGGGGATGAGCTGGTACTGGAAAGTGGCATCGTTCAGGACGACCTTGTAAGCAAGGTACGGCGTAGGAGGGTGGCCTGTGATGTTGACGGCGTTCTCGTACAACGACGAAGGCGGGAGACGCTCAACAACGTTATCACCATCGACGTCACCGTAGACAAAAGACTGATCGGGCATCTTGTCCGGGTTCATACCCCAGATGCTCATCT